TCTGGGAGCCGAAGATAGGGGAAGATCAAGAAAGGAAGAGTTAGAAAACAATGGAATTTGTATCAAACACATGAATAGTGACAATGGATTGATGTATTGCAACAGGAACAGTCCAGTTCGATATGATGAACTGTTATTTTGCAAATTAACAATTTACGATATGGTTTTCCGATTTTACTGAGTAACTCTGTAATTTTCGTTAAATACGATTCGGTTTCCCCACCTGTGTTCTCTTTCACTACATATGTAACATTTCATGAACAATAAATCTGAATAAATGTACGCCACCAGAAGCGCATTATTTCGTGATAACAGATAACTTAAACCGCTTTATGTGGTTTCAAGATAAATCCCTTTAAACAGCAACATTGAAACTATGCCAACTGATGCTCAAAAGTGAATACCAATGTTCTGTTAGGCATCATTATATTGGAATGAAATTTGATTCTTTGTACCAATAGATGGTTCAGATCTAATTTTATGAGGTATTTTCAGTTTTAACAGTCATTTCTAAATGCAACGTACCGAAATGAACATCCAAAGTTGTAGGAATGTCCTGACACTGAACAAGCATAAATAATATAGAAAAAAAACGGACAATAGTTCGAAGATAATACGCAGCGACAACTAACACAAGAAACAATGAATACAGGAAGTTGGATGAAAGTATATGAATTCGTAGTTTATAAAACAGTGATAAAACATCAGTGCACGTTATAGATAAGTTTTATTCAAGTAGTATCATACCAGACATTTTTAATCCTTATCATTACATCAATGAGTTCTACAGCCACATGATTCAAAATGCTTTTGTGACAAACAGGGTCCCCTGTAGGGAACTTGTATGTATTACTACTAACTCTTTAACAAAATGAGGGAATTAAAGTAAATATTTCACGGGAAACCAATTATTCATCAACGGAAGATCTCATGATCTTTAGCACACTCACTCAAGAGTTCTAAAACGCTATGAACAGCTTCAAGCAGATACCTAAAATTTACTTGATTTAATCCCGAACGTAGCTGCTACCGTGACGTGGTGGTCTGGGTTGCCTATCGCGATGAACGAACTGAGCTATGTTGGCTGGAACTTATGTTCCTGAAGGTTCTACCATGCCAGGCTGGTCGATTGGAGAACGATGAGACTAAAAGCAGCCACCCAAGGTCTGAGGGCGAAGTCGTACTGCTGAATGCAGAGGGGTGTGACAGCAGTAAGGTGTTTCCCTCGGAAAACCAGCGTCTGCAGTGATCCTGCCTTCTCACAAGGAAGGAAGGGTTAGAAAAGGTCGACCCTAAAAATGTCACACCTCACCCAACCTCACGGATTTCCGTCTCCTTGGGTAAGGGTGCCCACTAAGGGCCTTTAAGAGCGGAGCTAACACTCAAAAAACTTCTCATAAAAATGCCGTGCGTGACCGGCCTCAAGCAGTGTTCCCTTGGACTCTGCGGTCACGCTCCCAGGTCGTTCAGACCAACCCTAATCTATCTTCCTTCTCAGGTTCCTCAAGAAACAACCTTCCACGGTGTGGGCAGCCGGGAAGTGACATCCACCCTCGTACCCGTAACAGCATGCGAGACCAAATTGGTCAAAATCAAATCCTTCCTACACCCACACATACCTCTCTTACCACCACGACTATCACTTCTCACATTCATTCATCACAGTGCACAGCTAATGCGAACGATGCGAGTTCACGGAAAGTCATTTCTGGTCTCCTGAAACCACGCTCCAGACTACATGTTGGAGCACTTAATGTACGGACATTGTGTCAAATAGGGCAACAGGCTTCATTAGCTAGGACTTTAGAATCTCGCTCAATCGATGTGTGCTGCATCTCGGAAACGCGCATACAGGATCCGAGTAGCATCATTCACTTGACCTCACCATGTCGAGATAAAGAAGCAACTCGATTTACCCTTCGTGTATCCGGTAGCCCTGATGCTGCTTCTAGGGGCCTCACCGGTGTAGGTATAGCATTGAGTCCTAGGGCAGAACAATCTCTCCTTGTATGGATCCCAGTAGATAGTCGTTTGTGCGCCGTCCGACTAAACGGGACAGTAAGGATTCGAAAGGATAGGGACACTCGTCGTTGCCTCTTCGTCATATCAGCCTACGCCCCCACTGACTGCTGTCCAGATGATGTAAAAGAAGAGTTCTACAGAAAGCTTTCGGACCTCCTCCAAAAAGTTAAGCGCTCTGATATAGTTATAATGGCTGGTGACTTTAATGCTCAAGTAGGTAGACTAAGTGAAAATGAAAGACCTAGGTGGATGTTATGGTGTCGCGGCTCAGAGAACAGACAATGGCGACCGTCTGTTGCAGCGATGCCCAGATAACCGCCTATTTCTAGCAAACACTAATTTTAAGCATAAGGAAAAACATCTTTTGACCTGGCGACCCCCGAAGTCGTCTCAACGTTGGACGCAACTAGATCATATCGCCATCAGCCACCGATGGAGAGGTTCGATAGAGGACTATCGCTCGTTCTGTGGCATGTGCTTAGATTCAGATCATGCTCTAGTGCGAGCTCGTATCTGTTTGAGGCTTACTGGACGTAGGAAAGACACTGTAAGGAAGCCTCTTGGGGCTTTACTTAGTCATAATCAAGCTGAGAAAATATTTCAGGAGGAACTAAAAAACAGTTAGGCGACCATGCAAGTGATCCCCATTCGGAGGCAGGTTGGAATGATATCAAGAAGGCTGTGAAAACAGCAGTGATGTCTGCTAGCAAGGTAAACCATAAGGCTAGGATGAAGCCATGGTTTTCAGTCGCATCCACCGAACTGATGGATGCTCGAAAACACATCCCACCTGACTCTGAACGTAGTCAGTTTAGGAGCAGACTGATAAAAAGCCTATGTAACGACCGCAAACAGTGGTGGGTGGCGAAAGCAAAAGCGACGGAAAAGGCAGCGACGATAGGCAACACCAGACAACTTTTCTGCCATATCAAAGAAACCGGTATTAGGAACCTGAATGTGAGTGAGACTATCTCGGAAAAGGATGGTCTTACTATCCATTCTCAATCCAGGAGATTGGACCGATGGGCAGAACACTTTAGGGATCAGTTCAACTGGTCTTCAGCCACACTTCGGTTGACCACGATCCCCAGTCATCCTGAATGGCAAGTCGATTTAAGTCCTCCTAGTCTACATGAAGTTGAGGAAGCTATAGGAAATCTAAAGGGAGGTAGAGCAGCAGGTCCTGATAAACTGACCCCTGAGATATTTAGGGATGGTGATCCAGTTTTAGCAGCTAGGTTGACTGAGATCTTAGGTAGAATCTGGGAAATGGACGTAATCCCATCCGACTGGTCTCAATCCTTGATTGTCCCAATCTTTAAGAAAGGACAGAAGTCTTCTTGTGACAATCACAGGGGAATCAGTCTAACTAATATAGTATCTAAAATTTTGGCCTAAATAATACTTCGGCGCTTAACGAAAGCTCGTGAAGAGCAGACTAGAGGAAACCAATCTGGTTTTCGACCTGGACGTGGTTGTATAGACCACATCTTCACACTACGACAGGTCCTGGAACACAGACACACATTTAGACGTCCTACAATAGTCGTGTTCCTGGACCTAAAAGCGGCATTTGACTCAGTGGATCGTGAGGTTCTGTGGGAGTGTCTGTCATTGAAAGGTGTACCAAAGAAGTACATTAACCTTATACAAGCACTCTACTCGAACACTACAGGTGGAGTGAGAGCTTATGGCGAACTGTCATCTGAATTCTCTACATCAAGTGGTGTCCGTCAGGGATGTCCACTCTCTCCATTCTTGTTTAACTTTGTCGTAGACATCCTCTTAGAGTTAACATTAAGCTCTTCAGATTTTTCAGGGGTTGACCTTCTATCAGAAAAATCGCTTAGTGATCTAGAATATGCCGATGACATAGTTCTATTCGGTGAAGACGCTGACAAAATGCAGTCTTCTGACTACCGTAGGCAACAATGCGAGCATGTTCGGGATGCGATTATCACCCTCGAAATGCAAAATGTTGCTTCAAGACTGGGTTGCATCGGCACCTGAACTAGTGATAGGGAGTGAAGTAGTCGAGCGTGTTGATCACTTCACTTATCTCGGGAGTCTCACCAGTGCTGATAGCCTGGTGTATGACGAAATCTCAACGCCGATACAGAAAGCTCGATTTGCTTTTGCCAATTTACGTCATTTATGGCGTAGGCGAGATATCCGTTCGCTAACCAAAGGACGTGTGTACTGAGCAGCAGTTCGCTCCGTTCTGCATTATGAATGTGAAACATGGCCAGTGAGAGTAGAAGATATTCGTAGGTTACTAGTTTTCTATTATAGGTGTCTTCGAAGCATTGCTCGTATATCATGGGACAGCCGAGTAAGCAATGCTGCGATTAGGAAACGGATGTTAGGTAAGGATGGCAGGTCAATAGATGAAGTGGTGAAACTTCATCAGTTGAGGTGGTTGCGACATGTTTTAGGAATGCCTAACCACCGACTGCCTCAACGAGCTATGTTTTGTGGTGTAGAAGTAGGCTGGAGGAGAGATAGGGACGGCCAAACCAAAACATGGCACAAATCCATGAAGTCACTGACAGGTGGACTGAGTTATGCTGGCAGATGTAGGCTATCTGGTTGGGGTCCACGAGACGAAAGTCACCAATGGTTAAAGACCTTGAATGACATGGCTCAAATTCGTTTGCAACGGCGCAAGTGCATCCATTCGTTGTGCTCCCTCAAATCCTAATCTTCTGTAATCGTCAGCACCTCTACCTTTGTCTTTCTAACCTTATCTCACTGAATTATACTTCTTGAATAATATCTTCAAACCCTAGTCTTCTTTATTACCATTAATACCTCTACTATCTCTATCACTATGGGATTTGATTTGACATTTGCGTCTCTGTGCTAATGTGGTATGGCAACATGAACTTATGTACACACGTACGAAGTTCTACATTGTAACTGACTGACTGACTGACTGACAGTTGAAACTAATGAACATGAAAAGAAACTATCAAATATATTCCTGAAGATTCATTTGTATTGGTTATTTGAAATATTCAAACATACTTGACATATTTGACAAGATGAAATCAGTATCACCATTACCACATTTATTTTACATAATAAACATGTAATGAGTGGAAGTCAAATTTTTTCAGAAAAATAAATAAAGAAACGACATATGAAATGTCCATAATTTACAAGAAAGAAAGTATATCACAATCCACCAACACGATCCCTTGGAATTAACCGTAAATCGGATCCATATTTAAGAAACACCTCACCTGAAATTTAAATCAAAAACAAGTTCTTAAAGAAATAAAATAATACATTGTCAATAAGACCATAAAAGAAACAAGACTTTGATGTACAATCAGAAAAAAAAAGGTAAAATGGCCAAAGACGTGAACCAGCCAATCAGCAAGTGGTTTACAGCAATTTAACCTGGATGATTTTGCTCATATATCTATGACGCAACTAACTCATTTGTTTCATTGAAATTATGAATCAACCATTGTTAGGTAATCATTAGAAACTTGGAAGCACTGGACAGCCGTTTTGTCCTAGTACGGAACTAATCATCAATACGCATTCACGATCACCGCCCGTACGAATCGAACCCAGGACCTTTGGTCTTGTTCGCAAACACTCTAGACGACTGAGCCGGCATCCAACTGTGTTAACGTCTAACTTTATCACGGATATAGTAGCAAAGATTGTTTAAAATTAAAATTAACATCCGTCGGATGCCGGCTCAGTGGTCGAAAGGTTAAGAGTTTGCAAGCGAGAATGAAGAGTCGATCAGTTACCACGTGCAACGTAGAACTTCGTACGTACGTACATCAGTTTAAGTTTCCATACCACACTAGCATAGAGACGCAATTGTCCATTCAAATCCCATATTTGTGGAAGTAGTAGAAGTATTAGCTGTAATCAAAAAGATAAATGGTTGGATATATCATCCAAAATGTAGACCCCGGAGGAATCGATTAAATAGGCGATTATTTGAGCATAGCTGAAGCAGACGTTTGCCGTTATCTGATCTTTGAGCCACGACACCATAAGATGCACCCAGGTGCCTTTTATTTTAGCTCAGTCTACCTACTTGAGCATTGAAGTCACCAGCCATTATTACCGTATGATAGCGCTTAACTATTTGAAGGTTAGAGAGGTTTCTGTAAAACTTATCTTTTGTCTCGTCCAAGGTGCAGTCAGCGGGAGCGTAGACAGAGACAGTATCGTGGGTTTGATTCGCGTGAGTGACGGCCGTGGATGCACGTTGATGGTGAGTCCAATACTAAGACGGAATGGCTATCCGATGCTCCCACGTTTCTACTAGTGATCTGACAATGATTGGTTCATAATTTCAATGAAACTAAATCTTCATAACTCTAATGAAAATGGTAGCTCACTTTCACGGACAAAGATGAATTTAAAATCTCCATGCTTTAAAACAACTACAAAAGTTAACATTTTAGAGACCATTGCACTTTGACGTGATACTGATAAATAAACGCGTACATGTACAATGTCACAAGATGTATGAGCAATTACAAGCAAAACACACATATAGTTAAGTGTATCGGTCTAGTAATGAACCGTCTAGTAGTGGAATATATAAAGGGATACATAAAACTGCAACACTACAGTTTGTCAATAAAATGGGGTTCACCTGCTGTTTGTTGAGGATTTATACCAATTCCATCATCTGTGATAAGAGCACTTGTTGCTGCTGGTACACTAAACTAGGAAAAGGAAAGGTTACTAAAACACTGTTCAAAATAGAAATAAACTAGAAAATGGTTGATTTTTATATTTTCGATATTTTCCATATACATAAATAATAAATATCTGGTCAAATACAAGGTAGCAAGCTGACAACGTACATCTGCATAGTTTGTATACCTATAAAAATAAACCAGGAATTCATGCGGTTTGTGAACTATTTGTTCTTTGCCTTGACAATTACGAATTAGTCAACTAAGATGGTAACGGTACGAGCAGGGATGGTGGGTGAAAAATCCATTGAGATTAAAATATGGTAACGATACTATCTGAAAACTGATTTGGAAAGCTTAAAACAAGTGAACCAGACCGATTTAACTGGTGGTTACTAAAAAGGTAATTTTTTAAACTATAAAGTATCACAAACCAAGAAACTAAAAGGATATTACTGGTGATTTAAGGGCCACGAATAGACACTGGGTGAAAATCACGGTTGATTAACATTCAGAACAAGATATTGTGGACAATCAATCTTCGTGGATGTTTTTTGTTTTACGGAAATTCCTCTTAGCTTGGCAAATGAAAATTGGAATTTTTTTCTGGCATAAAAACGCAAATTAGTGCAGTATGTGGGAATTAGTGGGTCCATCGATAAAGTAATATACTCGTGATCTAAAGACACCCTGGACATCATAGCTGATGTGACTTCGGGGTGAAAAACACCATTTCTGATTCATAACGCTTATATCCTGCTCCAAGTCCTATTCTTAATTCTGCACACTGATTTATAACCTAGTAAGTAGGTTAGCACTCTCAAAGTCGCTTTGGTATCCCTTAAAGGTTATCTGTATGTTAGTTTTACTCTTAGTACTCACTATAAATCTTATTTTATCTACCTAACCATTAGAATCTGAATACTTAGGAAAAACTCAATAAATCTAACCACTGTAAATACCCAAGCTTAACAATTTTAACCACATAGTAGTCGCACCTCTAGTTAATATTTTTGAAAAATTTAAGTGCACTGTTTAATAGTACTGGGTACAAAAAAATTTGAAAAGACCTTTTTAAATGTCTTGAAAAGTAGTAAATATAACCAAACATTTATAAGCGATTAAATATCTCACGAAACTAACTCACTTGTTCAGCAGCAAACTTCAAGACAGCAGTAAGTGGTGTATTTTCAGGGACCTTCAGTCTGCGGTATGCAGTAAAATGTTTTAAAAGGACTTACACTTTAAAAGGCAAATTAGGATCTGAAGTTAGAGTGATTTTAAGTGATATCTTCGACCTAAAATTCCTCAAATAACCAAAATCAACACGACATACATGTAGCGTTCCAATTAAATCTTGAGGAGAAGAAACTCAATGTTACAACATTCTCTGTACTTGTAGCCTAATCTTTATAAACCAAGAATGAGATGTTTCTTTAAAGCGGATAGACTAGAGTGCATGAAGTAGTTTCTTAGTGTCTGTTTATAAGCTCACATTAACAGCAGCAATATTACTTACTCCAGCATCCAATATCTTTTTCACGAGCTAGTATGAACCAATCGATTTCTTTGCGTAAGATTCTTGTTCTTTCAGTACGGCTCCAATTGTTTGGTAGTGTCCAATGGATGGAGATCTAGCTACTGGACTGCACTAATTCTAGTCACTTAGTAGTTGTTTGTGAGTTTGTATGTACTGTGATTTGATTAAAAACGTTTGTTTCAATGCTATAGGGTTTCTGGATACCAGCAGCTATCACGCTACCAGGCTGGAGGTGAGTGAGTTACAGTGCGAATTTTAATAAGGCAAAAATTCTAATGTTAATAAGAAGACTCCGGAACTCAGTAAATAATTGGATAGTATAGTATATTTACTGTGAATGAAGATTGTGCGAATGAACAGAAGAGAGAGGAAACAGAGATAGTAAGCGAGATAGATTAAGTTAGTAATCTTAGATGGGAATAATAATAACCAGCATGTCTCAAGACATGCATTAGGCACAGCTTCTCTACGAGGGAGATCATAATCCATATGTGAGTACGTGTTAACCAAGTATCTTCCTAAAGTTTTTCTCTGAGGGGGATTCGGTCGATTCGGCTGGGAGAGCATTCCATGTTATGACAACTCTTAGTGAGGGAAAGTGCACACGATCCTTGGTGTTTGCTCTCTGATATGAAATTTTTCAAGGATTACCTCCGCGAGTGTGGTGGTGATGCTTCAGTGTACTCAATACGGTGTATGCCATGATCAAATCACCTGTAAGTTGGGGAGAATAATCTCAAATGCTGAAGTCTATCCTCGTAAGTTTCATTCTTCAACCCTACCACCCATTTTCTGCTCGTCTCTGCACTCGATCCAAGAGATTTATTTTTCTTGGGTGTGACGACGTAGATCAATGCCACGAGCTAACTTTGTCTAACAGATCGTTAACGAATATGAAGGAGAGAAGTGGATCTAAGATGGTTCCCTGTGAAGCTCCCGATGTTGAAACTCACCAACTCGTGTCCACTCTATTTACCTTGGCACAAAACTCTACTTTCAAGGTAGTTTCTGAGCCGAGATAGGAATGAGGTCCATATCCGCAACCTTCTCAGTTATTAGTGCGTGTGTTACTGTGTCTAAGGCTTTTGCAAAGTCAAGAAATGTTATGTGCACTGGTACTTTTCGGCCAAAGCAGGATGTTCCACTGTCCCATGTTGTGAGAAGATTGGATGGTTACGACCTGCTTTACCGAAACCCATGTTGAGCTTCATGGAGGATTTTGTTCTTATCCATGTACTTCCTCATCTGTTCGTACACCAGCCATTCCATTACCCTCGATAGTACTGGTAGTAATGCGACTAATCTGTAACTGGCTGGATGCTTCTTATCACCTTTTTTGTTTCCATTCAGCTGTGAGTTGGTGCGATCCTGTGGAGATGGCATGACAAACTTATTTTGTAAATAGTTTTTGACGCTATTTGTATAGCAACAACCTATATGTACCATTGGTATTTTTTATTGTCTGGTTTGTATGAGCTTGTGCGACTGAGCATTGCTTACGCCTACGCGCTGACTCATCCTTCTCGCTTTAATGTTAATCTCTTAATACCCCTATGAACTCACACGACTTGTCTCACTCACCTTTGACCTTGTCAGTCATTCGTCGCTTTTATTCATGTGTGTGCATGCCTATTTCTCTTGTCATATGTCTGTCTTATTTTTGTCTGACTATATATTCTTAGTCATGCTCTATCTCTAGGAGTTGGCTCAAAAGCCTTCTCCAGTTCACGTCGCTTCATTAGTTTTATTCACTGATTCTCCGCTTCGCTTTGTGGTGTGTCCCGAATAAACGTATTCATCACTACGAATTCATCTTCTGATTTATAAACCGTCAGACGCTATTTGGCAACGATTGTCTGAACGAGTTAATTACCGAGCTTGAGAACACGCAGTAAATCGACACACTACAACCCTACTGAATGCCTGAACAGGTCACATCTTGGTAAACTGAGTGCTTCTAAATACTGCTTCAAGACTATGGGGGAATAATGTCACATCCTGGTGACTTTCCCGGGCGTGAGGATTTTAGTTTCCACAATACTAAGTCAGGAGTAATACGGATAGATCGTAAGTCGTTAGCTGGCACTGCTCTTAGGGAGTACTCTGAACATGTGGATACATGGTTTAAGTGATCGGTGAAGTTGGTGCTGAAGATCTCATCCATATCTAGGTTGGTGAGATCTCCATTTTGAGGGAACACAAATCCTGACTCGTAGATTTTCTTTTTTCCACGAACCCAAACAGATGCTTGGGGTTTGGATGCATTTGGGCAGCTAGCTTCATCTGAAAGCGTCTCTGATTAATTTGAACTTTAGTATTGCATCTGATTCTCAATGCTAAGTAAAAACTACAGTCGCAATCCTTCAAAGAGACCTTCCACTTGTACCAGACTCTTTTTTCCGCCGGTAGGAAGCGTTCGGTGCCGCATCTGATCCATGTTCTTTTGTTTCCGGGTGTGTGGTGTGCTTGACGTACGTTTTCTACGACATCATTCTGTAAGATAGCTCTTACTGTTTGCCAGTTATCATCTACTGTCCACCTCCGACATTCCATTGGCCGAGGGGCATGTAGGAGATGCTCTTTTTTACGCGTATGATCCATCCTGTTGTAGCAAGGGTGGGGCTTGTGGGATATTAATGCAGGGGATGTCTTTTGAGACTGGAGTGTTTTGAGATATGATGTATGACAAAATAATGTTTCATGTCCTTACATCCATCGTAAAGAATGCCCATGCTGTACTAAAAGTTTTGACCTTCAAAGATAAACATTTCATTCTGCTTTAACGCCTACAAAAAAGTACTACTCAATCACCCCAAGTGTTCAAACTCGGAATGCCGCGAGTGAACGAAAATTCATAAATCAGCTCGTAAGAATGTCTAGGCAGTTAAAGGGTTCGCTCTCGAATTACAGAAACAAGCCGCCAAATGCAATTCTGGTTTCCAACTTCATGTTCAGTTGTGAGATCGACCATACGACATACGAAATCTGGAAAAACAGTTCATACAAATACCAGAATGCTCTTTCCGTGATGTAAGAGACATAAGCATTAATTAAGAGGCAGTGTAAGGGACGGATTTCCGGAACAAGAATAATTCCATTGTATTACTGAGTTGTCTCAATTCAAATAGTGCTCAAGCTGATAAAGACAGGCACCTGGTTAATGATAAACCTTGTTTTCTTAAAAACGTCAGAAACAATTTATCAAAGAATTGCAAAGCAGCTAACAAGGATGGACACAGATTTTGTTAATATTTATCGTTTAGCGAATTTATTCATTGTAAATGAAGAATATTTCATCACACCACATACCTTAAATGTATTAAAATAGGACTCATCAAATTTGTGTGGAGATCTATTATGCACTTTGCTGCTTGTGATAATGAATTCTGTAATACCAATCTTGCTAAGTTTGTTGATTCCAATAATCACATACTTACATTATTTACAGCATTCAATGATTCACTTCATCATTGAAAACGATTATCTAGCACATGCAAACATTCCACGATTGCGAAATCGTAGTATCCTGATTTTGCATGTACAATTTGTCAACTTCATCTGATAAAACACTCAAATTAGTTTTCTAAAGCTGTAATAGATGGACTTGGAGAGAAGGAGGAGATTTATATCTCAGTATTCCAGCTACATGGATTTCACCGGATCACACTACTCAAAACCAGATTGATCATATCTGTATCAGCAAAACGTTCAGAAGGACTATGGAGGATGTGAGAACCAGGAGGGGAGCTGATATAGCCTCAGATCACCATTTGCTAATCGCCAAAATGAAACTGAAACTAAAGAAGCACTGGACAACGGGGCAGACAACATCACACAAGTTTAATACGGCCTTTCTTCGGGATACTGTAAAGCTCAACGAATTCAGGATAGCCCTCACCAATAGGTTCTAGGCCTTTCAGGATCTACACAATGGAGAGGACGCAACATTGGAGAACAATTGGAAAGGGATTAAGGAGGCAATCACTTCAACATGTCACGAAGTTCTTGGTCACAAGAAGTACCATCACAAGGAATGGATCTCTGTTGATACTCTTGCAAAAATTGAGGAAAGGAGGAACAAGAAGGCAGCAGTGAATGTCAGCCGAACAAGAGCAGAGAAAGTTACCGCACAAGCTGCATACACAGAAGCAAACAGGGAAGTGAAGAAGAGCATCAGAGCGGACAAACGAAAATATGTGGATGATCTAGCAATGACGGCGGAAAAGGCTGCAAGAGAAGAAAACTTGAGACAATTGTACGAAACAACAAAGAAGCTTGCCGGAAACTATCGTAAACCAGAACGACCAGTGAAAAGTAAGGAAGGCAAAGTAATCAGCAACACTGAACAACAGCGAAATAGGTGGGTAGAGCACTTTAAGGAACTATTGAATCGACCAGCTCCACTGAACACACCCAACATCGAAGCAGCATCCACGGACCTCCCAATTAACATTGGCGCACCTACAATTGAGGAGATCAGTATGGCCATCAGACAAATCAAGAACGGCAAAGCAGCAGGACCAGACAACATTCCAGCAGAGGCAATGAAAGCAGATGTAGAAGCAACTGCAAAAATATTTCACATCCTCTTCAAGAAGATTTGGGATGAGGAACAAGTACCATCAGATTGGAAAGAAGGATACCTCATCAAAATACCAAAGAAAGGCGATCTCAGCAAGTGTGAGAACTACAGGGGCATCACTCTTCTTTCAATACCAGGCAAAGTCTTCAACAGGGTGTTGTTAAACAGAATGAAGGACTTCGTAGACGCCCAACTTCGAGATCAACAGGCTGGATTTCGTAAGGATCGATCATGTACTGACCAAATTGCTACATTACGGATCATTGTGGAACAATCAATTGAATGGAACTCACCACTGTACATCAACTTCATCGACTACGAGAAGGCATTCGATAGCGTGGATAGGAAAACACTGTGGCGGCTTCTTCGACACTACGGTGTGCCTGAGAAAATAGTCAACATCATACGGAATTCTTATGATGGATTC